CTGTAGGAGAATTTTTTCCAACAGAGATTGCCTCTTTCCAAATTACTCTAGCTGGTGTCAAGTTGACATAAAACTAGCCCACACAAGGTTATAAATTCAGCTGAGGGGAAAGCCAGGAACAGATTGCTGCCTCTGACACCCCTTTAGTCTTGTATCAGTCCACTTGCCTCTGATGAAAATGGAAGTTCCCCTAGAAGTTAGTTTGGGGGAGTATGGTGAATTTAAGAAATGTCCTCGTCATTTTTTTTTGGGGGGGGGTCTCACTATGTAACCATGGCTGACCTGGAGCTAGCCATTGTAAACCAGGCTGGCCTTGAACTCATAAAGATCTGGCTGCCTCTGCCTCCCAAGTACTGAGATTAAAAGCGTGTGCCACCACAAGTGGCAGGTCCTCAAGTTCTTTAATAGTCTCACCTTCAAGAGGTGGAGTCTTAGTCCATGCTAGTGGATTCCTTTAAGACCAGCACTTGGGAGGCAGAGGCAAGGGGATCTCTGCGGGTTCTAGGCCAGCCTGGTCTACACAGTGAAACTGTGTCTCAGAAAAATGGTAGAGTCTGAAGAGATGGCTCAGGGTTAGTCCCCAGCATCCACACAGGGGCTCACACCTCCAGGCTCAGAGACTCTGATGCCCTCCTCTGGGCATGGCACACACATGGAACACAGACATACATGCAGGCAAAACACTCTTAACACACATAAAAATAATAAATGAATGAATGAATGAAATTGAAAACAAAAGCGAAAGAAGTGAAGTCTCTTTGGCTTCCCCTCAAGAGCGGGGTGTTAGTGCCTCACCTGTGAGTAGCAAAGCAGACAGGAGAGAGGACTGGGTCATAAAAGGTGTGCTCTCTCCTCCTCCCCCCTCCTCCCTCCCTTCCCCCTCCCCTGCTGCTCACACTGGCTGAAGCCATCTCCCCAGTGCTGAGGGCCAGCTCAGGAGGCAGCCCTGTAAAAAGACCGGGAGAGGAACCCAGGCCTCTGGCTAACAGCCAGGTGGGGACTCCTGCTTGGAAATGGATCGCCCAGTCCATCAGGATCTTCAGAGGGCAACGACCCCAACTCACAGCTTGACAGCAACCTCATGAGCCCATCCTGAGCCGGACTGTTCCTAGCCTCCTGACCTTCAAAACCTGTGTGAGACACGGAAACTTCAAGCAACTCGGCTGCTTCAAGCTGCCATGTTCTGTGTAACAGTCAATAATCCAGGAGGCCCTGCCGCCGTCGCCTCCTCCTCCTCCTCCTCCTCCTCCTCCTCCTCCTCCTCCTCCTCACTGCTCTTGCCTGTTCAGTCTTGTGCTGTAGTGAAACCTGCATCATCATCATCATCATTATTATTATTATTATTATTATTATTATTATTATACGGTGGGTCATGTTTCAGATCTACTAGCGGTGGCCAGAGGACAACTTGGTGGAATCGATTCTCTCCTTCCATCTTTACGGTCACTAGGGATCAAACCCAGGCTGCCAGGCCTTGGGTGGCAGGCACCTTTATCCTCTGAGCCAGCCATCTTGCCAGTCCAGATGTTTATTATTTTTAAACTTAATTAATGTATTAGTATTCCATTGAGTGAGACCCTCTCTTTCTACAAAAGAGGCCATTTTGTATTTCTCAGTTAGTCTCATTTATTGTCTCCCTGTATTGACTGGACACCAGAGTCAGGCCCTCATTGACTGTCAAATGATAGATTATTCAAGGAGCTAAGAACTTGGTGCACATGACCCATGACTACTTTGGTTGCTTGACTATGTTTTTTCCTTCTGTGAAAGCAGGGTCTCTGTCTTGCTTATATTTATGATTTCTTGATTCCTATTATAACACATAATAGGTGATGAATATGTCAGGTGAAACTAAATAAAATATAAATATGACCATTCTGTTCCTTAAGGAGTTTTTCATACACTTAGGTTTAGAGAAGATACAGGTCATAGCTTTTAGCTGTTTAGGAATTCATTTGGAGAGTTACTCAAACAGCTCGTTACTGGGTACCTCCTAGGCCCCGGACATGCAACTGTAAAGATGAGACAGTCTTCAGCTTGAACAAGGGCCACATCTCAGCACCTTCGTCGCCGCCTCCGTGACTTATGCTATCAGCATCTTTTTCTCAGGTCATTACATCCAACATTGTGATCCCAACTGGTCTTCCCGCCTTCACTTTCCTCCCCATAGTAAAATTTCAACTGTGTTTAAAGGGATCCCGTGAAACCCGAGTCAGAACACACCAGTCCTCCACTCTAACCCTACCAATGGCTGCCCACTTGTGGGAGGGAGCAGACATGACCACGAGTCTCTCAGCTGGGCCCACATCAGGAGGTAGACTGTATTTTCAGCCCACTGAACATTGGGTGGCTTTGTGACTTTCTTTGGTCAATAGGATGTGGTGGGTGGGACACTGAGCTAGTTCTGGGCATGGATTTTTGGAGGTTCTGGGTTCTTCTGTTCTGCTTTTGAAATCCTGCACCTGCCCAGTAAAGAACAGGCAGGATTGCTGGGAGGAAGGGATAGGGTGGGTCAAGGAGGACCGCTGGAAAAGACCTTCCAGACCAGTCAGTTACCAAGCAACCTGTCAGCAGAGACGTGCAGATGCGATCAGAGCTAATGCAGCCTTCTGGAATCTTCTGTATGACTTACACACTCATAAGCCAAAAACATGTTTGTTTAAAGCTGTCATGATGTTCTTGGTCTGTTACACAGTGGAAACTTAGTGACAACCATCTCATTCAAAGGGGAAAAAAAGTCAAACTTTTTGCCTGGCACATGGTGGGTGCTCAAGGAATATCCGATGAAATAATTAAGAGAGTCACAAATGGAGTTAGCATTCCAATGAAGGAAACAAGAGTAATCAGTGGCTATGGTAAGTGCTGTGGAGCACACACACACAATTACTGAGGTAGAATGGTAGCAGGGATGAGAGCATGGGTCTGTGTTTGGTTCTCTGCTTACTTTGGAATAAGGCAAAAATCCTCCCAATGGACTCCAAGAGTACCCAGGACCCACGTACCATGCTGACCTTATCTCCTGCTGGTCTCAGAGTCTCTCATCCAGAGACACCGGCCTTCCTCCTGCTCCCACTTCAGGACGGATGGTGTCCCTGCCTGGAATTTTCACTTACATATCCCCCCTACTCTTCCTTGGGTTCCTGCTCATGCAATTCCCCTTCATCAAGCCCTTCCTGACTGGCTTAGAGAAGTGGCCTTCCTCAGAATTCTCCTACCCTGATTCATTTTTATCTGGGACCCTTGTCACCCTGGTATATTATATGTCAACTCACTTGTTTACTGTATGCTCTCACCACTAAATAAAAATTCCACAAGTGTTGAGATTTTTATTTTGGTAAGTGCGCCCTTAGAACAATACTGTCATCAGGCAGAATTGTAATCAGTGGATACTGAAATACTTTAGGGACTTTAGGGAATCAGTTCTCAGATTAAGCAAGGTGAGCGTTTGGCTTTGAGCTATACTGGGAACGTAGTAAGACATTTTATTTTACTGTGTATGAGTGTTTTGACTGCACATTTTGTGTGTGTGTGTGTGTGTGTGTGTGTGTGTGTGTGTGTGTGTGTGTACCCTGTGCATTCCTGGTATCTGAAGAGGCCAAATGAGGGAATTGGAGACCCCAAAACTGGAGATACAGATGGTTGTGAGCCCCCATGTGGGTGCTGGCAATAGAAAACCCAAGTCCTTTGAAAGAGCAGCCAGTGCTGTTGACTGCTGAGCCTTCTCTCCAGCCCCCAAACCTGTTTTTTTTTTTTTTTTTTTTTTTTTTTTTTTGGTTTTTCGAGACAGGGTTTCTCTGTGTAGCTTTGCGCCTTTCCTGGTACTCGCTTTGGAGACCAGGCTGGCCTCGAACTCACAGAGATCCACCTGGCTCTGCCTCCCGAGTGCTGGGATTAAAGGCGTGCGCCACCACCGCCCGGCATCCCAAACCTGTTTTAAATAGCCAAAGTGCCAAGATGAGAATGGGATTGTATAATAAAACTACGAACGTGACCATGTCATGTCACACATGGCAAGCATGACCCTCTCCATAGCATGCTTGACAGGGTGTGGGGACATTACAACTCCCATTGTTTTTCTCTTACTGCAGTAGCTCTGAGAGGTAGGCAGGGCAGGTTTTAGGTGGGAGGTGGGGTGGGGGTGGACTTTCATCACGGTTGATCTGACTCCAAGTCCAGAGCTTCTGACACTCATTTTGACATTCTCCCCTTGCTGGGTTCTGACCTGGTGACTTTGACTCCTAAAGACTCCTGGTCAACCTTGAACTCCTGAAGGACCCTCTCCACTGAAGGCATCCTTTTTTCTGGGGAGAATATAAGTGCCCTACTAAGAGGTGGTGCTAAACTTCTCCACAAGCCCCCCTTTCCTGCGTTCCTACCAGTACCCCTCATCTCTGCCACACTTAGGGTCCTACCGTGGAACTTTCTAGGAAGCCAGGGAGAGGGTGACTGTCACATAGTCCCAACTTCTGGTTTGGCAGTCTGTAAAAGACATTGCTCTGCTTCACTTTGTCCTCAGATCACCCCACTGTCCTGTAGGTGAATGAGGGAGGCCCAACCCCCAAACAGGGTGGGCACCTGCTTTCGGGTGAAACCCAGAGAGAGGTCCCAGTCTTACTGCTTCATTTGGGCTTAAACATCAAGTCGTGCGATGGTGGAAACTCTTTCCCGCTGTTCTCCGCTCTCTGCCATGTTGACAGAAGAGGACTTGCTAATTCTGGCTGGGGATTTTCCCTGCCTGGCTGTTTTTCTCTTTTATCTCCATCAATTGAAGAGAGCTTGCTCTGCCTTTCAAACTGCCGGAAGATACTGGGGTTTTGTGTATTTTTTTTTTCTTTCACCTAATTCTGTGGTCTTTTCCCAGATATGTATTTTCTGTCTAACTCTCCCCTCTAACTTGTTGACGTTTCCGCCCATGTGACTTCCAGCTTGAATTACCAGAAACCACAAGAGAGAGCGTGTGCGCAAGCCCCAAAGTAAGCGAGATGTCCCTTTGGGGAGCAGTCCCTCTGCACCCCAGAGACAGAAGGACGCAGGGGTCTGTTGGAGGTGACTGCTGGACAAGCAGGGGAGGCACCTGTGGAAGGTGGAGGGCTGGTGGCCCCCCTAGCAGTCAGGAAGGGGAGCCAGCTAGTGAGAAGATCGCCCAGAGGCATCTGGGACGTTTGGTGGGAGAGCCCCGAAGATTACAGCCATGCCTCACAGCTCCGACAGCAGTGACTCCAGCTTCAGCCGCTCTCCTCCACCTGGCAAGCAGGTACCCCCCCACGTCCCCTGCCTTCTGAATACCCTGGGGTGGTGGAAGAGGGCCAGACTCCCCCCCGTTCTGCCCGGGGAGCTCTGTGGGGAAGGAAGTAGCTCTCTACTTGGCAGGGTGCTCTCCGACAGACTCGAGATGTGGTATTTGCTATGGGGAGGTACAAGTGGCAAAGCCTTCATCCCGCCACAAGCCCCCCTTTCCTCCATTCCTAGCAGTACGCCTCATCTCTGCCACACTTAGGTTCCCACCGTGAAACTTTCTAGGAAGCAAGGGGCAGGGTGAATATCACAGAACTTAGTGGAAGGGGGTCTACTGGCCAGCAGAGGAATGTTCCAGTAGGCTGCTGGCAGACTCCACCCAAATCCTAGATCTGTAGCTTTCCAGGAAGAGCCAGGGGGCAAGACAGAACCGAGGTGAGGGAAGAGAAATACAATAAGCCAAAGTAGACAGGAAGGAAAGGATGACTAAATCTACCTGCCGAGGGACTGACTGCCTCTGTGACTAGAACAGCCATTGGGGAGGGAGGCTGAAGCCACAGCCATTGGGGAGGGAGGCTGAAGCCGCAGCCCGTATTTCTTTCCCTGTGGCTTCCAGACAGCAGAAAGAAGGCAGTGGCCGTGGAGGTTTGTTGGAGACCTACCTGCAGCAGTAGCTAATATCAGCTCCGGGAAACCAGGGAAGGAGGGAAGGATTCTGGGACTCTTAGAGTCTTGACCGACTACCAAACCAAGATGCTTCAGCATGGGAGATGCCTCAAATGGGATGCCCTTCCCACCTCGTAGTTTCTGAAGCCCTCTCTACCACATTCTTGACGTCCCTTGCTCTGGAGGGTTCTCCTCATCCAGTATAGACCTACGGATGAAACTTTTCTACATCTCAGTAATGTAAAACTGTCATTCTTTCCTTAGCATACGTATCGGGCAGGGGCTGTAGCTCAATGGTAGGGTGCTTGCCTTACACACATCCAGAGGGCTTGCAAAATGCTGCAACCAAAATAAAAGTATGCAACCATCCCCTGTCACATCTGTCCTAAGTGATCATCTGCTCCCACATCTACTATAAGCCCCCTAACCAAAAAAACCTTACTGGTGAAGACCTCTAGAGGGAAACAGTCATCCCCTTGCTCACAATGGTATCAGAGCGGTTGGACTGCCTGGAAGATGGTACCATACTCTTCTTAGGGAGGAAATTACTCACAGTTCCATGGTAACCTAGTCCCCTGCAGCATTATGGGAAGAGCACCTCCTTGCTCTCTCTAATCCAATGTCTGCCTGCTAGAATGACCCACAAGTTTTGAATAAAGAAGGAAGGGGGAGTCAGAGCCTGGCCCCAGGATCTGTGACCCCTCTGACAGGGTAGGGGTTGCCAAAGGGCTTCTCTTAGCATCTCCGCTGACCAGCAGTATCAGGGGCAAAGCTGGAGCTCACCTCCCCGGTCTTCTATAGGACATATGTAGACAGCACCCAAAGAGCGCTTTGTCTTCTAAAGTCCCTACCAGTAGCTCAGTAAGCAGGCGGCCTCCACCTCAACTCATAGACTTACGTTTGGTGCCTCATTTGTAGCAGGCATCATGTTCAGGACTGGGAAGGTCTCAAGATGGCTGCACAGTGAAGGAAATGAACGAAAGAAGGAGAGATCGGGCGGGGGGGCAGGGGGCTCTGCCCAAGGGCGCAGCACGAGAAAATTGCTGGTGGAGATTCGCAGGCTTTAGAATCAGCACCAGAGGATGCCATACCCCTGGCTGGCCATGATCTCCACAGGGACCAGTGTGGAGACCCTCAGCTTCATCCCATGCAAAAGAGAAATGACTGTACCTGCTCAGAGAGCTGGGGAGTCGTAGCATAGCGTCTCTGAAAGGGCTGGTACAGAAGTTGGCGCAGAGTGGATGTTCATCCAAGTTTGTAAAGAAAAAGAAGACAGCAAAAAGAACACCGAGAAGGTACACACAGACACACACACACAAAGACACACACACAGACACACAGAGAGACACACACACACAGAGACACACAGACGCACACACACACACACACAAAGAAACACACACAGAGACACACACAGAGACACACACACAGAGACACACACACAGACACACAGATACACACACACACACACACACACACACACACACACACACACACACACACACCCCCGGAGAGAGAACATGAGGGTAGAGCAGCTCTGGAAAGAGCAGAGGCGACAGGACAGATTTCATTGTCTTAACTGCTGTTTCCCAAAGCTGCCGTCCTGAAGCCTCAATCTCTCTTCACTTCTTCACGTAGCTTTTGATCAAAAGAAGACCATGGGAGACCTGAGGATGGGTAGCAGGGAATGCTGAAGAAAATGTCTTTGGGTGCAGGCTTTTTGTAAATAAGGGGATGGATGGTAGAGAAGGAACTGAGGACAAGGAAGGAAGGAAGGAAGGAAGGAAGGAAGGAGGAAGGAGCAAGCTAAACTCTCTAACAGACTGTTTTGACTAGAAGAGAGGGATGGACATGCCTAGTTATTGCTGTCACTGCTTCCTAGGACTCATCCGATGATGTGAGAAAAGTTCAGAGGAGGGAGAAGAACCGCATTGCTGCCCAGAAGAGCCGACAGAGGCAGACACAGAAAGCCGACACCCTGCACTTGGTGAGTGCCCAGCCTTCTTAGCATGCTCTTGCACCTTAGGCTCTGCATCCCATGCCAATGGGGCTGTGAGACCCAGCTTTGATGCTGCTGCTGTGGGGGAGCTATGTACATGGGGAGAGTAAACGCAGGATGAGACTTGCAGGGGTGAGGTGGGGAGGAAAGGCTCTCTTCTCCTAGGCACGCATTAAAACATTCAGTAGCAGAGAGGCTGAGCCTTTCTAACCCAGGAGAGTGCAAGGGTACATGAGTGGGATGCTGGCAGCCTTGGGGCTTGATGAGAGGTGGAATCACCTGTTCGGAAAGGACAGTAGAGAGCGCGCCATCCTTCCTGAGTCACCATGAGCAAAATACTGCTGCTCAGAGGAAGGTAGATGTTAAGTTTGGCTTTGGGACGGGCAATCTTTCAGGACCACACATCTCATCCCTCCAGAAGGCAGCCTGTCTGCCACCCAAATGCCCTTGCATTTGAGAGCAAAGGGTCAATGATGCTGCCCTTATTTTTCGTTTCCTGAATATCATGAAGGTTCTGTGTTGAGTTTCCCATTGTTAATGATGTATCTAGGGGCTGTGAAACGCACAATTTCTGGGCACTTATCTGGGACAATCACCATCCTGCTTGAGTGGCCAATATTCTCAAACTCTTCTAGCAGGGAGGAGATGAGCTGCAGCCCCACCTGGGAGGCCCACAGCCTGGGCCAGAGACCCCGAGTCCTTGCTGGGCACAGCACTCCCAACCTCTTCCCTCTTTACAGTCTGCCCCGTTCACTGTGTTCTTGCTCAACCATTCTTTCTCCACCACATCCTTCTTCCCGCACTTTCTCCTAAAATATTCCCGTACTGCTAATATTCTAGAAGTTTCCGTCCATGGTAAAAGCACAATAAGCACCAAAAACAACTAAGCTGATGATACAAATGTTTAGTACGGCAATGGAGTGCTTTAACCTTATCAGGGATAAGTAATGCGGGGCTGGGGAAACGGCTCAGTGGGCAAAATGCTTGTCATGCATGCATGAGGGTCAGAGATCAGATTCCCAGAACCGACATAAAAGCCAAATGGGCAGGAGGCAGAGGCAGGCAGATGTCTGTGAGTTTGAGCGAGAGAGGGAGGGTGGGAGGGAGGGAGGGAGGGAGGGAGGGAGAGAGACAGAGAGACAGAGAGACAGAGAGAGAGAGAGAGAGAGAGAGAGAGAGAGAGAGAGAGAGAGAAATAGCCTAATGGGCATGGCAGCCTGCAGTAATTCCAGTTCATGGGAAGTGGAAACAGAGACTCTTAGAGCAAGTTGGCTAGCCCGTCTAGTGAAAAAGAGCAAGCCTTAGGTTCAGCAAGAGGTCCTGACTCAATACAGAAGTTAGAAAATGATTGGAGAACAAGACACTGACATCAACTTTGGGCCTCACACATACGCGTGCACCCATACACATGCATGCCCACATACAAGCACACACACGCACACACCGACACACACGCACACATCCAACAAAACAATAAGTAATACGTGGTGTTAGAAGACAAAAAGGGGGAGATCTTCTTTTAGCTTTAAAGAAACCGAATACGGGATGTCCGAACCTCTCGGCTGTGCTTATGTTTTGCTTGATAGGTACTTAACATACTCTCCAGTACAAGCTGACATCAGTTGACAAATACATGTCAAACTGACCATAAAAAAAAAAAAAAAAGAATAAACAGCAGTCAGTACAGACTGAGACCCGGCTACTCATCCACTTCCAGCGATTCCCCTAGGGCTTAAAATCTCACAGCAGTTTCATTAGTTTAAGCTGACATTTCCCACCTGAGTCTGGTTCTTTAATAGTCCTTAAAGCAACAAAGCCACACTTAAAAGTAGGATACGGTCCTCTCTGTTTGGGTGAGTGGACCATGTCCTGAGTGGACAAGCACCTACAAGCTTTGTAAGTTTGCAACATTAAAAGAAGAAAGCTGAGTGCAGCCTCTCTGTACAGGGAGGGCCAGGCTCGAATGGCCACTCTGCCGTTTGCTGTCTGTGTGACTGAGCCCAGGCATGTTCTTCATGAGCCTTAGACTCGGGCCCTTATCTCAATGGGAAACGACAGGAACTGCTGCCTATGGAGAGAGCGCAGATGAAACACTCGGTGTGGTGCTGGGCGCGCAGTAAATACTCACAAGATTCAGTGCAACCAGACTTATAACAATAGTATAAGAAGCATGAAAACTGAGATTAAACAGGCACATACATGCACATATGTGTACTTTTCTACATAAAGGCATACGTGTATTTTCCCTGTATGTATATATGTACTATTATGTGTGTTGTGTGTGTATATATTGTGTATGTGTATTGTATGTGGGTGTATTGTGTGTGTGTGTGTGTGCATGTATGTACTTTTTCTCCACCGAATCTCAGTGCTGAGAGACTTCTTTTTTTTTTTTTAATTTTGGTTTTTCGAGACAGGGTTTCTCTGTGTAGCTTTGCGCCTCTCCTGGAACTCACTTGGTAGCCCAGGCTGGCCTCGAACTCACAGAGATCCGCCTGGCTCTGCCTCCCGAGTGCTAGGATTAAAGGCGTGCGCCACCACCGCCCGGCTGAGAGACTTCTTAATGGCTATAAAGCTCAGACACATTTGAGGCCCGGGAGTCTTCTGCAGTACTCACCCCTCCTGTGGAAGCCCCCCCCCCCCCCCAGTGCACACCTGCTCACTTCTAGCAGCAGAGTGCTGCCTCCCTCCTGACACAGGAGTGGGAGAGTCTCCCTGTCTCTAGCTGCAGGCTGCCTCCCTGTAAATTCAGCCCTCTGGTCTCTGCCCAGCCCCTCAGGGGAGGTCCTTGAGCCGGCAACTTGTCTGTCTTAGGAAGACAAGGGGCAGGACCAAAACGTTTAGATGATGGTCCTGGTTACGACTGCGGTCGAGTAATCTCTGGTGTTCCGTGGGTCCATAGGGTCATGGGGTCATCATGTCCATGTCCCAGCCTCAATCCCCACAGCACCCCAGTTTCCTTGTATCTAAACTCTTTCCCGCTCCTTTCTTTGGAGCACTGTACCGTGCGTTCGTGTTCTGCCCAGTGAACAGGTCTCAGGGGCTGCACCACAAGCCTGTGGACTGCTGTCACTGTAACCCAGAGCTCCGAGGCTTCGGGTGGGAGCTCTTGGCAGCACCACACAGTTGCCACCATGCAGAGAGTTTGGCTGGGGTCTGAGCTCCACAGCGTGTCCTCTTGCTGACCGTCACCCCTCTCCAGCACCCTCTTAAATACATGTGTGGTTCGGAGAGAAAAGCTCCTGCTTCCTCCGGCGAGTTCAGTTTCAAGTCTCGGTTTGCCCTTGACTCCTTTCCATGCTTTCTCTACGTGCAAGGCTCTCCGGAACCTTCTTCCGGCCATAGGGTTCATCCACCAAGAATTTGAAAATCAGGGCTTGTGGGTTGCTGGGGATATATAAAGTAAGGGACACATGGGGTTCATCTTGGGGTCCTGGCCTCACGTATGCGGGCTGCCAGTGTCTTCTTAATGTTTCCCGTTGGCACTATTATCTGCCCTAAAGCTCCCAGAGCCTAGACTCTCCTGGGAGAGTATAAGACGCTGACCAGTTAGCATTTTGAATATTCGCTCTGTCATCAAGCGTGGAGCACTGATTGCTTTTCAAACGACGGAGGTGGGAGGAGCCTCCTGCGGCAACCGCGTTGCAGTGATCTCAGCATTGAGGAACTCCATACAAAACGTATCTGTGATTCTGTTCATACTTAGGAAATGTATGTGATGATTTCCAAGACACAGACGGAACCACAAAACAACTAAGTACGACATTTCCACCCAGTCAGAAAAGTTGAATTTTTCAATCAATATAGTTGGGACACCTGGCTAATTACTCGAGGAAGCAAAAGGCTGAGTCCCTCGTTCCTTATACAACTCACAGAAAGATTAAGTATTTTTCAAGGAAACTAAAGATGCCTTAGGGGGAAATATGAGCTTTTAAAATATATTTTGGCATAAAAATTTTCAAATAAAATAGAAAATCATAAAGGAAAATACTGATATACAAACATACATCAAAAAAGAAAAAAAAATTGGCTGAGCATGGTAGCACACGCCTTTAATCCTAGCACTCAGAAGGTAAAGGCAGGTGGATCTCTGTGAGTTCGAGACCAGCTTCATCTACATAGTGAGACCCCCCGCCTCCCCATCTCGAAAGTCTACATAGCTCAAAACACTATATGCAAAATCAAAGACAAATGGAAAACAGGGAGGAAATTATCTAGAGCTTGTGAGCCAGAAAGGCACATTTACTGCATCTGCGGAAGCCCTTTGACCAGGAAAGCGATGGATCTCACAGAAAAATGAGCAGTGACTATAAACTTACAGAATGGGAGAAATATAACGGACTTATATGTGAAGTATAGTTAATATGTGAAGTATGATATAATATGTGACGATGTGGCAGGCCTCCTCAGGAAAATGCCAATTAGGGTGACGGGGTGAAAGATAACGCTGACACAGGAAATGGCCAAGGGAGAGGGGAGAGTGAGCACCACATTCCCTTAGCAGGACCAGCGGCTACAGCCCATCAGACGGCAGCGTGACCAGACCCCCTCAGATGACACCCTCCCTGTCTCCCAGCAGTTTGCCGTCTAGGAATCTGTTCACGAGCACACCATTGATGACTCAGTTCTCTGCTGGGTTTTGTTTTTTTCTCTTGGTTTTGTTTTGGTGTGGTGGTACTGAGGACTGAACTCAGGAACTTGTACATGGCTGGGCACATGCTCTACCACTGATCTGTAATGACCAGAAACTAGTTAAATACCCATCAGTGAAAGGGTGATCTTAGGGCTGGAGAGATGGCTCAGCAGTTAAGAACACTGACTGTTCCTCCAGAGGACCCGGGTTCAATTCCCAGCAACCACATGGCAGCTCACAACTGTCTGTAACTCCAGTTCCAGAGGATCTGACACCTTTACACCAATGCACATAAAATAAATTTAAATAAGTTATTTTTTTTAAAAGGGTGGTTGAATAAATGATAGTCCATTCT